GAATATTATGAGTTTGAGGCCCCACATTGGGACTTTAAACTCATCATTTAGTCTGACACTCAGATGCAGTGCTGGTGGAGTGCATCTCCATTGTTGGAGGTGCCGTCCTTCAGATGAGATTTGACACTAATTTTCCACCTTATTGTTCACGGGAATTTTAAAAATTCCACAGCACTATTTCAACATTAGCCATTCAGTGCACAGCTGTTTGTGGGACACTGCCTTGTGAAATTGGATGCTGCATTCCTTTACAAAAAATATGCAGTCACCATCCTATAGAAAGTCTGGTGAGGACCTGTGACATTTAATGATGTGAAATTACATGTACCATGTAAAATGAAAAAAAATTATATTATTATCCAATAAGAGGAATGTAGGTAATACTTCTTTCAGCTTGTATTCTCCCGATAACTAGTAGTGACATCACTAAAACTGGATCCAAATAATTTGGTGTTAATTATTTAGCTAGATCAAACCCATTTTTTTTACTGATTTCATCAGCACATTTCTTACCAAGCTCCACTGACTCCCTGTCTCTCAAAGTATCAGTTTCAACATCTTCCAGTATTGACCATCAATCCCCCAAATAAAATTAGTCATTCAGTTCATGACTTTTGTGGCACGTTGTTTTTGTGCAAATGCTGCTGCTTCTGCCTACAAAATACAGTCACTACAATTTACAGTAAATCTTGTGAAGCAATTTGAGACATCCTAATATGAAAGGTGTTATTTCAAATGCAAGGATTATTATGATGATTGTTATTATTGATAGTACTATAACGGCATCAATCAAGATCTGAGCTTGATGAGGTTTAGATGATGTGACCTGAAATATTCAGATCAAGGCCAGTTTGCTCGTCCCTATCAGCTGTCATTCTGTTCCAGATGCATGGGACTCTGCTGTGTGTGGAATAGAATGTCCCATCCCTATCATATTTGTTATTCTTTATCCAAGCTATCAATGCTGCATTTATAAAGAGAGACTTGTCTTTTCTGGTTTGGGGCAATATCATGTATCATTTTAATCCTAGTGTACGCAGAAAAGGCCAAGGGACACATTTTGCTACAGTTTGCAAAACAAAAAGATGCACCATCCGTGAAGATGTTTTTTTGCTTGAAATTGTACAGAAGAGACCGTCTAAATTGCATTGATCGATGACGGAAGATTTTAGGAGCAGCTCTGAGCTACAATGGAGACTCTGTCTGTCTCTGTCTGGAAATACATCGCACCTGCAGTATCTTATATTTCACATAGAGGCACCTGTAGGTAGGAATGACATTGTTCCAGATAATAAAAAAGAGTTATTATTTGCGACTTGGAGTTGTTGTTGACTTCCATTACAGAGAGCCACAATTTTAAACCTGGTGTCATTACCATTGTCCTTTCTATGAGTTCCTATGAAACACCTGCAGTTGAAATAATTGAAACATTTCCCATAAGATTCAATAAGCTTTGTTTTACAACCCTAGAGATCCTAGTCTTTTGAATTGGATACAGTATTCATCAATCTGTTTTTGTAAGAGCTTGCTTGTGTCTATCGTTGAGGAGGGGCATTCACTACAATCAGATGATGTGCCTTTTACACAATAGCTCAACTTATGAAATTAAACTTGCATTAAAATTTATATACTTTTCAAATTGAAGAGTGCGATGAAAATAAAGAAATGGAGTCAGGAAAGAATATAAAGCAAGCTTGTAGTCTCCATTTTTTCTTAAAAAAAGGTTTAAATAAGCATTGTTTGCAATGGCACACACAAACCTTTTTCCCCTGAGGCTTACTTTGGCAGAATTCCAATAATGCATGTTTAAAATTCATTGGATTCATCCAGTGTCACAAACTCCCATAAGGCTATATTAATGAAATTATGGGCAAAATGGGATTTTCTCAGATTTTATGAGCTGGGAGGTTGACGGTGCTTTAGAATTGAGAGGGTTCAAGCTTCTGGTCAACAATAGTCATCCTTACTCTGTATTAACTAACCCAATTGCAGATGGACAGCTTCTTTCAGAAGGTACACACCTAACTAAATTATGCACTTATTAAAGAAACAGCATGGCAATAAAAGGGACAGTCTTCTCAGATTGAACCTTACGATTAATGGGTCTGTCTCCCAATTACTCTACTCAAGGTCAGTCAATATCACAGAGAGGAAGCTGTCCTTACCAGAAGCAGAGTGCAGACTCTCCAGGCTCCAATACCTCGATAGGACTCCTCTAAAGCCATAACTGCTGTCAGACTCCGAGCCAGGAGACAGCCCTGAACTGCCACTGCTACTGTAGCTGCCTGCTGTGTGTGGCCCACTCGGCTCGCCGCATTGTTGGGTCCTCATGCAGAAAGACAGGCTGGCGAGGGCTCCCTCTTTGCTGTGGTCAAGTCAGCCCCGAGTCTGGGTCTGTATGTGTATGTGTCTGTATTGCAGTCAGCCTTTGGTGTGTGGTACCTGCTGCTGCCTGGTGATAGACTGTCTGCAGATTGCTCAGTGAGCAGGATCTGCATCATTCACATCCACAAATACAGTGACATCATGGGGCTCCTTTGAGGGGGCTCCCTGAGTTGACAGTAGTGCTTGTTAATACGTCTACATACAGAAGGAAAATTATTGCCTTTTGTGGGGTGGGGGAACCAACACTCTCTTCCAGTACTATTGCAAATGAATCCTAAATCAATGTAGCTTGATGGTATGTGTTTAATGCGCTACGAATTTTGAAAATAATCGTATTTTTGTTGTCTTAAAGGTGAGGTGGATTTATTTTTTTGTCACGAAGAAGGGAAGGGTACAGTTTTTGGAATTTTGTTAAATGATTTATTTTATTTTCCCTGTTCTTTGCACCTCCCCATGACAATCCCATGTCCCTAGGCTCAGGCGTTTGCTGAAATCTTCTAATCTGTTGACACAGTCTAACAGCAGAGTTTTACACAAGAATTTGAGAGGAAAGATCCCTTGAATGTGAAAAATCATCAGAATCTCATTTTTCACTGCATTAAAATAGCAAATTGCTCCCTCCCAGCAATAGCCTCCCCCACCTTTCAAGTTATTTGAGAATGAATAAAGGCAAGTGACACCAATATCAATGGCAAGCTATGTGGCTTTAGCTGGTTAAAAAATTAGCCAGTAGAGATTGCAATGATTCTTGCTTTTACTGTAGCTCCTCTGACATCTGCTTGCTTGTGACTTTAGTAAACCACCTCTTCATTGTAATTTCTTTTGTTGATTTGTTTTCAAAGAAAGTGTGTTCATTTTACATTTCGCTGGATATAATAATGGTGCAGTTTGTTTGACTGGTAATCACAATGAGAGATTGGCAGATCGAGGGGATTCAGTGCCTTTTGAAAACCATGAGGGTGAAGCTGGAATAATGGTGCCTCTGAACCCTGAGATTAGATTCCATCTTTGAAATAATTCCTGGATGTGTACTGTCATTTATAATAACTAGGGTGGGATTGATGAGCAGTTTTGCTCTGTTTATTGCCAGCTGATGTCAAAAGCTAATGCACTCTGGTGCCTCTACAATGTGATGGGTCCACAATTAAACCTTTCTGGCACAATCATCAAGAGTTCATTGACAGACAAAAAACGACCAGGAAAATGTTAGGGCTTTTATATACCGTATTATGAAATAAGTGTATTCCAATCATTCATACAATTTTCAGAGTTCATTCGGTCAGCTCACTCTCATACTATAATGAATCTGGAATAATTCCCACCTAGCAAACTTGACACATTTATGCAAGACAGAATTTGAGAGTGAATTGTATTGCAGTGACCCTCAGTGGTGAAAACTGAACATGGCATTTATACCACAAAACTATAGAAATGTCCCAACAAAGGAGGGGTCCATACAACCCATTTTTTTGTGTCAACATTTGGTTCTCCAAGAAGCAATTCATCCTAATCATAATTACCTGTAACCTCTAATATCCTTCTTCTGCACATGGCTGTCTAATTCTCTCTTAAATTACCCCCAAATGGTTCTTATGTAATAGCTACCCTGGCAAATCATTCCATACTGTAACAACCCTCAGGGAGAAAAACTTCTTTCTAACCTCTCCTTTTACTCGTCAGGCACAGTGATTCCATGCCCTCATGCCTTCGAATCCACAGAAATACATAGAATGATACAGCACGAAAACAGGTCAAACAATTTGTGATGGTGTTGTATTCCACATAAGCTTACATTCCCTCCTAATCCCCTTACCCATACTTCTCTAATTCTTTCAAAAGCTTTTCAGTATTTTAAACACCTTTCACATATCATTCCTCATCCTTCTCTGCTCTGTACATTTTAGAGCATCTAGAATTTGGCAAACTATTGAATTCAGTCTTAAAACTGGAATCCATTCGTGTCATTTGTAAAAGATTTTCCAGGAAACCAACTTCAAGATTAAGGGTGTATTTAAGAAATTGCCATTTTCTGGGATGCTGTAAAATGCTTCATAAATGAAGTAAATCTAAACCCAGGTGAAGTCTACTCCTCTGTGATTCTATGAAGGTAGAACATTTAGTGAATGAATATTACATTTCTCCACTCTGCTATCTATTTATTCATTATAACATGGTCCAACAAAAATGGTTCAAAGAAAACAGACCAAAAAGCATTTCAGTTGGATAAGATGCTGTCATTTCAGCTGTTTAAGATCACAAGCCAGCCATGGGAAAGGCGGTGTGTAATTCTAAACTTGAATTTACACAAGATTTTTTTTGTGCAGAGTAAATGAGGTAAGATAAGTGGGAGGAAAAAAATGATACAAGGACAGTACTGTTTTCAGCTTACAGAAAGACGAATTAAAATATCCACTAACTGTTAGAATCCTTGTACCGATTTGTAAAATTTATGCCTGCAAGACATCACAGGGATTTCAGCAGAGCTTGATTTACTGATGTTTATTCGAATAGTAGGTGCTATCACTTAGTGTTTTACAGCACTGGGTTACATCACTAATTCAGTAGAGTTCTTTTTAAATTGGATTGCTCCCATTACCATAAAAAGTATTACATACCAGGTGTGGTCATCCGCTGTTTGAACCCTATACAGTCCAGCCCTGTTGGTGTGCTCCTGGAGAAGGTAAGAAACCTCAGGGGAATGTCTTCGAAGTTAGAAGAAAGAGGTGACAGGAAGGAAAATGTCATTCCCACCTACAAACAGGATAAATATGTCAGTACACCCACTTTATCTACATTGAGAATTGCTAGTACTGTTGTGCACAATATATTTGATCTCAGAGACCAAATGTCCCCTCTGTAATAGAGATCCAAACATACAAAAGTAAAGACTGAGATACATGAATGACATTTTTTGTACATTCATTAGTTAAAATAATAAATATAAGATTGTGATAAATATAAGTTGTGCTGTTGCTGTATCAATCACGGTTTGCAAATAACAATTGGTTCAGATTACATTTTCCGTATTATAATTTTTTTTGTGATACATTTGCTCAGTGAATGAAACAATTGAACATAAGATGGCTTGTTCAGGAAGATTTTACACTGTGCACTTCTGTACTGGCATCAAATTTATTCGTAAAATAAAATTAATAATTGCTTGCCAAACAGAGTGAAACCCAAGTGGTAGAAAGAGACCTAAAGGGAAAGCTGGAGGAAGTTCCTAATTTAAGCAACCATTGTGAAGAATGCAATCTTCCATTGCAATCCATTCAGAGCACCCTGGAGATGGACTGAAATTTATTCAGGTCCATCATTAATGAAAGGTGAATTAGAACAAAGGAGTTTTCAGAAAATGGTCTGTGCCTGAAGCTGTACCTTTGCATTGAGAACATAATAAAGTGAACAGGAGTGAAAACAGAAAGATTATTGATGATCAGAGAGAGAGAGATGAAGATCCCATTTCCAAATTGTGATAAGAGTTTCCACCAAAATAGTCAAAATAACAGAACAGAAAAAAAATAGGAATTAGGAATTTTACTAGAAATTCCCAGGAGACCTTTCCTATCTATTCTAATTTTACTAATTAGATATTATTGTGGATGGTCTTCAAGAAATCTTAACTGCAAATTTCATGAATCACTAATATAACCTTTCTGTATCACTTCCTGCTTCATCCTGTTCTTTTCTTTAAATCTTAACTTACATAGCTTCTAAAATCCAGTGAACCTCTAACTGTTCTGAGTTTCTAGAACAGTGATAACACAAACCGAACACAGTAGGACAGTGATGGAAAGGACAGTTTGTGAAATGAATTACCCTGTGCACACAGAGCTGAAAGAGGAAGGCTGAAGGTATTTAAGAGACAAGAGTTGACAGGACTTCACAGGACTCATTGCGTATCTTACTTCAGTTTGGCCCTCAGAGGTAGCCCTCCAGTGCTTAGTTCTACTGTCCTGAAGTTCTTCAACCAACTTTCTTCTTCTAATTTTTCCTTCTTCCACCAACAATTCATCTGAGTAACATCGTTTGCAGGACAGGGAAGAACATTCTGTATCTTCATCAATGTCCATTTTATATTTTCTCTCCTGCTCAGTGTGGCAAAATGACCAGGAAAGTTGTCCAAAGTCTGAGAATGGCCGCTGCTGTAGACAGTTCAGTTGGGGTTTCTGCAGCATTGAAGGCAGTTTTGTATTCTTTTCCTGCATTGTTTGATTTGGATATTTAGAGGCTTCCTGCGTGGCAGTTTCAGGTAGAGAAATGTTTGAGATTCAGACATCAAGGGTATGAAGGTGCATACATGTGATGTAATGTAATGATTCAGGGGTAGGATTAACAGCATTTTTTCATAAATATCAACATTGTGTTCTAGTATAACAGAATTAATATCCGCTTTGCTGTGGATTTTTCTTTATAAAACAGACTGTGCTCACTATTAGTTTATACATTCTGACTACGTTCTCCACCTTTCCCAACTAGATAACAAACCAAGCCAGACACCTAACTGAGACACACCCTAACTTCAAAATCTATTTGGCAACATCATATGTACAGTTTTACATCATATACATTTATATAAGCACTTGATAAATATAAATTTCATTGTTATATATGTTTGCAATTAGGACGTGGGAAATACTTGACAATTGTACAGCAGACTCATAGCTCATGAACCAGATATTCCCTGTTTCCCAGTAATAAGCATCTGGTATTCCAGTTCTAGTTATGGAGTGTCTGAAAATGATTTTGTACTTTAATTTATAGTTTGTTAATCTCATAAGCAGAAAATTGAAGATTGCAGTAGTCTACTAATGTGAAGTGGCCATAAGAACTTGTGAAGTCAGGGCTGCAGGGAGTCTATTGCAACAACTGGGTGCAGTGAGATGGAACCAGTATTCTGCATTGGGAGATTCTGCATTGGTGGACAGATATTTGACAGGGATGGCGGGAGGGGTAGGAACTAGATGCAACACTGTCTCAGACAAGGAGTAGATGTATGCTGTGTGTGGTAACTTGATTTTCATGCTTTGTAATTTTATTAATTTAGGATCACCCAAATGGTTCTTCCTACAAACGTGGCATGACATTTGTCTAATTATATGTGTTGCACATAATGCTGTACTGTTAAATTAGGTACCGCACTTCATTATACTGGGGCCATGTAACAGAGAATTGGTGTCAAGGAACCACATTTGATGCCAGCCGATGTTGACCTTGGCACAAGAAGTGAACAGAGATTGCTGGTTTAGCTTCATATCAGTTCAAATAAGGTCCCTGACAAATGCATCATTTATGTTCCTGCTATAGCTGTATGTCAGGAAATAATATTGCTGTATATACCTAGTGGGAAATACATTTGGTTCATTTTAGCCAGTTCAGTATTTTAAACTTAAAATATTTCAGCTGTATTTCTCTGAGGTTCGCTCTTTGAGTAGATCGTTCCATTTACACCTTTTACAAAGCTATTGGACACAGCGGCATGCTCTGCATGACATACCTTTTTATGTAGTGAAGTCTGAGGCAGATGCAATTATCCAAGTGTTTAAAAAAAAGTTACCTTCCTCTAATTTGGGTCAAAATGGAAATCATAAGTGTGATTCGTGCAATGACTAACAACGGACAGCAGGGGGTGCATTACTTAGATTCATCCTTATTGGCTACGAGATGTTGTTTTACTTTAAGACCATTTCAATGTTAATATATTTTAAGATAGTTATACTTAATAATTGGTTGCTATTACGTCTGCTCCTCTTTTAAAGGCGATGACTCATATTAGGGTTCAGACACACTGTAATTGTCCAAGATACAAAATACGTTGAAAGAGAGCCTTGATTTTCAATGCTACAAGTGTTTCTCCCATCTACAGAATCTTATTACATCAGTTTTACATTTTAAAAATGCATGCACATACAAATTTGTTTTTTTAAAAATCTTTTGAGTTGCAGTTTCATATTAATGACCTATGATGTTATAGAATAAAAGAAAATATCTTAACATCCAAAACACATTTATTTTTCCCTTTATATTTTGAGTTTGATATTTTTTATCTTCCCCTAAATGATTGCGTGTAGTTACTTAGTCTTAACCTTCACTTCCCATTCCAGGACTGCACCTAAACCTGTATATCTGAGGTAAAGAATGCACTATTCCTTTTACACCTATTTTCAAAACATTTGAATTGTTTCCAACAATGGCATTAGATGATTTACTTATTTCCATTGGAATTTATTACTGGGATTTAGTGATTTATCTTATTCCACTCCTCAAACTGACCACCAGTTAATCACTATAATTTCAACAGTTCATTGTGGCTGATTCTTAACATTCATACCATACAATGAATAACTGTGAATAACAAAAATGCAAGAGGTGGCTTGAAATAGTCAAAATAGTTTCTTTTCCTGTATAATTATCATTAGTATAATTAGCTTAGCATCCATTATAAATGATTATTTCTAGCAGAATTTTCAGAACAATTTATGAATCACTTACCTCATCTTTTGGTATATCAATGACAGAAGAAGTTATATTTAGACTGGTTTGTGACTGACTGCTAATACCACTATCCTCTTTCTGACATTCATTATCCAATGATTGTACTGAGAAAATAAGACTTCCTCTTGGTTTCAGTGCGATTGTCCTCTCAGAGCCTTCTGACATTCCATCTGTTATCTTACTAGAATCGAGGGAAGTCCAAGATGAAGTGCTAGTTCTTGTAGAGGAACGAAAACTTCTTCGAAGGCTTAGCCGTGGACTTTGTGGTTTCGGGCTCATAGGCTTTGAGGGGAAAGCAGCATCCATACATTCTAAATTCGCAGTTCTCACCCTTGTTGGGCTCAATTGATTAAATAGATTATGTGAATTAGATTGACTTAGTGGAGTTTTCAAACCATCATCATTTTCGAGGCAACTGTCAGATGTTAACGTGAGACTTAATCCATTTGGTGATGCCATTTTTGTCCTCTGTTCCATTGGTGTATTAACCTCAGGACGTTCCATGTAATTGTCACATGGCTGGATATTGCTTGACATGACAGGAGATACAGATGGACTAGAAGCGGTTATTGGAGGAGGACCATCTATTTTCTCTGTTGAGGTTCTCTTTGCATGTTCACTAGATACCTGAGACTGTGATTTTCCACACTGACCTTCTCCACCTGAGGCATTTGAGGTGCTTGACAGACTCAACCGTTTTGTGGAGTCCAACTCACTCAGCTTCATAAATCTTCTCCACAACATATGTCGTGACTTTCCTTCATCCCCTTCACTTTTCTTAGTAGATTTAGCACTTTGATTAGAACTATCTTTCTCTGCAGATTTTGACTCAAAAAAACTTGAGATTGATTTATTCGCAAAAGCCCGTTTTACTCTAAGGTTCAGGCTATCGGCACTTTTGCTCTTTTTGTACCTATTTTCTGTGGCAGCAGTTAATTTGATACTTTGTTCCTCAGCATTACTGTCATCTCCTTCAGTGGAATCTGTACTCCTGTTGTGGTTCCGTCGATCATTTTCTGATATTGACTGATCTTCCACCATATCATCTGTCTCCAGGGATCTACCAGAGTCAAATGACTTTTTTATGCTTAACTGGCCACTTCCCTCAAAAACCTCATCATCATCAGAGCCATCTAAATACAAACATTCTCTCTTGACATGGCCTTTGAATTGATCAGAAGGATGAAATCTGTAGCTCGGGTAATGCCTTTTATACACGGGAACACTGTTCATATTGCTTTTCCCTTTTGTTTTATTCTCATTTGCACCTCCAGCTCGTTGCTTTCTGCTTCCAACCTTGGTGTTGGTGTCAGTTTGACGCTCCTGTGTTGAGGACTTGTTTCTCCTGAACGATGCCATTTTTGTGAAAACCGAAAATGTGGAGTTCTTGAAAGTTGTGCTTAAAGAGTTCAAGGAAGATACAGATCCAAAGGAGGACCTATCATCTCCTTTATTATTTGTCTGTTTCTGTGGAGCTTTGTAAAGGCTGCTGTTACTTCCTAATGAGATGATATTTTCATCAAGTTCCTCACTAGTAGTACTATTGTCATCTATATCATACACAACTGATGGAATATCAGTGGGTTCATCACCTGTTAGTGTGTCTTGACTTCCATTTTCATTTTCACTATTGCTTACAATTTGATTTGGAACAGCTGGCATTTTGATGTTATTGTTTTCTGGATGTTCTGGCTGTATAGGTAAAGGATCTGCCTCTACCTGAGGAGTGATGTCTCTTACACCCAGACTTGGGTTTGAAACACTAGCAATTTCTATATTTACTGCTGAAGAAAGGTCAGTTGGTATTGATTCTGTGTCAATGGTAATCTCTCTGGCTGTTGCTTCTTCAGTGATGTTGTTTGATTCTTGATTTAATAGCAAATACTTATCATGTGATACTGATACTTCTTCATTAAAACTTTCCTCTTCCTCAAACTCTGAAACACGACAAGCGTCACTTGGTATCAAATCATCTTGAGTCTCATTCGCTGCTATTTCCTCTCTTCTAGAAATATTGCTTGTACTTAAGTTTTTTTCTGTGATTTCTTCTTGAAAGTCAGACTTTAGTTGCCCTGAATCTGAAGTTGTTGGAGTGCAATGTTTAGAAGATTGTCCATTGACGTCAAGTGAATAATCAATTTCCTGTTCAGTGAGGGCAACAGAATTTTCCCTTTTTATATTATTGTCTTTGGGATAAATTTGACTTGTTTCTGTTTTATAAATAAAAGCTTCAGCTGTTGTTTCAGAAATGCAGTTCTCCACCTCGAAATAAGTATCAATTGAGACGTACTTTGTGTGAACTAAAGAGTCACATGTATTTTTATCTGTTTCAAGCTCAATCTCACGTGGTTGTGTTTCTGAACTTTCTCTTGCTTGAAGTTCAGTTTGTGAAAAGCTGTAAGTTACTTCTGAATCATTGTCTCGACCAGGTTCTAGTGTCTCAGAATCGGTCTCACCTTTAGCAAAACTCTTTCTTTGTTCTGTTTCTGTTGACCGCACAGCAGTGCTTTCTTCTTGTCTCTTTTCAGAAAATATTTCCTGTAATTCTATTTGGCTCTGACAAATCTGACCAAACTGCGTTTTTCCCTCTTGAGAAGTCTTTAAGTGTGTTTTTGTGCAAATATGCTTTGTTTCTTTTGTTGCAGTTAAGATCTGATCTGTGCCAGATTCTGTATCAGTGGTCATCTCCTTTACCTGTACATTTGTCTCAGCGCAGGCTACCAATTTAATTTTAGTGCCAATGCTTCTTCTTACATTCACCTCAGAAGAAAAAATCACTGAATTCCCCAATGTCCCAGGAACAAGTTCTGGTTGTTCCACATGCGCTTCACAACTAATTTCACCAAATTCTAGTTCTGTTTTGAATGGATCACAACTTGTTTCTATCCTTTCTTCATTAATGACATTTGACTCAAGTTTGATTTCAGAGGAGAAATCTTCCTCCAATTCTTGGTCATCCACACCTGACCTTGGCCTTTTATCCAATGATTGCACAGAGTTTATTTCAGTCGTTCTCAACACTGCTTCAAATCCTGTTTCAGTACCTTGTTCAGTACCTTGAGAAATTCCAATTGGTTCCAGTTTCTCTGGAGGAATCACATTTTGCTGTATTTTAGATGCGGCATCAAATTTTATTTCTGATATTTCCTCAGCAATAGTTGTTGTTTTTATTTCACAAGAAATGTTATTTTCCTCTAATTTTATCAGAGTAGGATTTTCACCTGGTTCTGATTTTGTTTCAGAAGTATCAGTTGGATATGATTTTATTTCAGAGACAATTTCACTAAGATCTTGGTTTGTAACCAAAGAATTCCAGATTATCTCAGGTTTAATTGCAGAAACTTCACTTTTTCCGGGACAGCTCTCTGTAGGATTTGATTCAATTTCAGAGCTAACTTTACTTTGATTTTTATTTGTATCCCGAGAAACCAAGATCGACTCAAATGTAGATTCAGCAGAAATTTTACTTGTTCCAGCACACGTCTCGGTAGAACCTGGTTCTATTTTAGTGGAAAATTCATTGAAATCTTGGGTTGTGTCCACAGACACACTGATTGACTGTGATTTAATTGCATTAGAAATCTCAGTTATTCTAGGGCAAGTCTCAATGCTTTCTAGTTTTATTTCAACAGGGGTTTCACTCCGATCTTGGCTTCCATCTAAAGAGGTCAAGATTGGCTTGTTATTTTCACCAGAAATTTCATTTTGGTCAGGGAAGATTTCAATGGATTCTGGTTCTATTTCAGAAGTAATTTTAATTTGTTCTTGGTTTGTACATAGAGAAGTCCAAATTGACTTGGATTTAATAGGACTAAAAGTCTCCCTTTTCTTGGGACAGATCTCTGTGAAATCCAATTCTGTTTCAGGAGGAATTGTCCTCTGATCTTGTTCTGCATCAAGAGAAGCTAAAATTGAGTCAGGTGTAACCTCACCAGAAATCTCACTTGTTCCTGTACAATTCTCAGTGGCATCCAATTTTATTTCAGAAGAGATTTCATCTAAATCTTTGTTTGTGTCCACATACAGCTTGATTGACTGTAATTTAACTGGATCAGATATCTCAGTTGGTCCAGGACATGTCTTAGTGCATATTTCAGCAGGAATTTCACTGAGATCTTGGCTTCTATCTAGAGCAGTACAAGTTGGCTTTGAGTTACTTTCAGCAAAAATGTAATGTTTCCCACAAATCTCTGTATGATCTGGTCTTATTTCAGGTGTAATTTCACTTAAAACTGTGTTTCTCTCCAGTAAAGTCCAATCCGATCCTGACAAGCAAATCTGAGATGGTTCTGGTTTAATTCCAGTAAGCAAATGGTTTGTCCCCAAACATAATTCAGCAAAATCTGTTTGTTTCTCTAGAGAAGTCCTGTTTGTCTCTATTGTTTCCCGTGAAGAAGTTTCCGGTGAAAAAGTAACATTTGAGTCTGCATTAATGTCTAAAGAAGTCCTACGTTGCAATGCTGTTTCAGAAGAAATCTCATTCTGTTCTTGTGTCTGAGAAACAACTTCAGTTGTGCTCTGTTCTGCTTCAGGATAATTGCTGCTTGCACATGTTTCAAGAAGAGCAGATAGTGTTTGTAACCTGGAAGAAATCACATTATAGTCCGATTTTGCTTCAAATGAATTATTGCATTTTTTTGTCCTTAATTCATAAGAAGTCGCATTTGTTCTAGATTTCGTCTGAAGAGAAAGTTCACTAGCTTCTGGTTCTGACTCAGATAAACTGTTGCTTGTTTCAAATTCTGGTCGAAGTATAAATTGACTCGTCCTTGGTAGGGCGGCACTTGGGACTGAGGATGTGTTGGGAAAACTGCTTAGCTTTGCTTCACAGTTTTGAGGTGAAACCTCACTTGTCTCTGATTTTGTCTCTAGAGCAATTTCGTCTGCCTTTTCGCTGGATTCATAATCAGTATCAAGGAAAGCTGTGCTAGTCCTTAACTGTGCTGTATGTAGCGGTGATATTGCAGTAGAGCAACTGCAGGCAAGTTCTGCTTCAGCAGGTGT